AATTTAGAAAATAGATGTATAAGTCATCATTTAATATATCTATATCAACAGAATACATTAATTTATTTTAAATCTTTAATTTTAAATCTTTTGAGTGTTATTTATTAATAATTAAATATACTCTCGCAAATAAGATTTAAAATTTAAATCTTATAAAGTGAATTAGTCCTAGACCAATATGGTAAAATGTCTTTAAAATCTTTTAAAAAAGAAAGGAATAAAGCTCAATCAATACACAAGCTGATCCATACACTCCTAATGGTCCAAACAAAAAAATAAAATAAAATTTAAATCCTTATCACAAATAAGATTTGCTTTTAATGCCTGGTGGTGAGATTAATCTTCATCAATTATTGGGGTCCAAAAATAGGAAAGGCCAAGACATTTTCTCCTTCAAGGCGAATCCACTTGGCATGCTTCTATCTTCTCAATTTTGCACTTTGTGAAATTTTGGCTCTTGCGTTGCTGGATTTGTGGTCCACAAGCTAAGGCAACCGCAACGGCAACGGCGACGGCGGCGGTAAAGGCAAAGGCCCATTACTTTCTTTTCCTTTAATGTAGAATAAGCAATTTGGGTCATTATCTTGCTTTTGGGGTTTGTCCCCAAATCCTAGTGTTGCACGTTTTCAAGAGATTTAATTTCCAAGATTAATTGTACTATATGGTTTCTAAAGGGAAGGAAAACAATGTGAGTCAAATGGCTACTTGGAGCAACGGGGCATGGGCTTGGGACTTGCAATGGTTATATTCTTGGGGGGAGACCCTCACTGAGCAATTGAGAGCAGAAATTGATACTGTGCAGTTGGTTCAAAGCACCCGATCGAGGACAGATGGAAATTGAGTGGAGCCTTACTAATATGTACGTAGGAAATTAAGGAATTTACGGCCTGAGATCATTTCTATTGAAGCAAATACTTGACGCAGAAGAAGTATGTGCTAGAGGAGGGCAGGGTGTTTGAAAATTAAACTGGTCCAGTTGAGGGCATTTCATCATTGGTTCAAGGCTACAAGTAGTATTTCAGATTGGTTAGTTAATTGAGCCAGTGCAATGCTAACTTGAAGTCAGGCATATGTTGAGTAGGATGTGCTGATGCTTTCATGTACTGTTGAATTATTTCTCTATGGAGTTAGGGCAGCCCTTACTCCATAGAGAAATAAAATCCAAGCTTTTTTTCTGTTCAAAAAATAAAAAAATAAAAAAACACAAAAACAACTGAATAGACAGTCATATCTTTGAAAACAGTCACGCGGTGAGCACGAGAGCAAACTTTCAATTTTGAGCTTTCATATTCAAATACCGATCGCATGAGCTCAAGGTGAATGACCAATTAATCAATCAAATTGCAAAAAATAAAAAAAGATAGATTTTGTGTGTTGCCCTTAAAAGCTAATTAATTCACCAGAAAACAAAAGAAGAAACAATCAAAAAAGTTGAATACGCAATTGATGCATAAAACAAAAAGGCTTTTGAATTTTTGGTACCCAAACATGGATCCCAGTTGTGAACCTTTGCCATTCTAGGGTTAGTTGTTTGAGAGTTCGATTCTTTTGAGTAAGTGAATCAAACTTTGGCTATTTCTGTCGTCCAACAATACCATTGCAACCAAAATCAAACAAAAACTTGGCTTCCCCTAAATCTAAGTAGTGGAGAGAATCACAGATCATGTCTATGTCCATAGTGTCAAAATGACTCAAAAGTTGGGTAACGCCTGGAACAGAAATGGCCCACCATGCATTGTCAATTTTATTAACTGCTGAAATGCAGCGTTCGAATATTCTCAACTCAAAGAAAGATTTTGGGGATTCGCAAACTGCTTCCCTAAATGAGAAACTCTAGCCTGAATCGTTTTGCTAAAGTTTGTCCTAATTCAAGAATAATTTGCCCTGCACCTATCCACTTTAGTTTAGTGGCAGCAAACTAGTGTACTGGGGTATTGTCTGTGTCATCAGAAGAATTAACATTTTGAAGTAAGTATCAAAAACGACTAACCGTTGTTTGATAATATATAGGGAGAGGAAACATACACTACTGATGAGTATGTGTCAGCAAATTTACACTTTACCAGCTAATTAAGTTATTGCTATTTGCACTTGCTGCCCCTTTGGAGTAGGTCGTGATTTGCATCCCATGTCCTGAGTTCAATACCCTCCCTACACACTAATACCTCTAACGCACTAACACCTCTAACCATTGCCTTTCTCAAAAAAAAAAAAGTTATTGTTATTTGTTTAGTGAGAGATTATTGTACAATACAAATTATACAATAAAAATTATTTAATAAAAAGTAATTTTTTAATATTTAAAACTTTTACTTCATATATAATCTTTTTTTTTTTTTTTTTGTTATCGTTTGGATTATAAAACAACAAAATTTCAAA